GTCGCTGAACCGCCAGTCCTCCCGCCACCCCCACCGCCACCGCTCGCGCCGCAGGTACGAGTGCGTGAGGCGCGCGCTCCACAGCAGCAGCAGCGCGCGCACGAGCAGCGCGCGCGCGCGACAGGCGGAGGCGGCGGGATGCGCGGCGTAGAACTCGAGGATAAGCGGCGGGATGAAGGTCCAGTACGGATCGATCAACTGCGGGGAGGGAAGAAGGGCGGAGGGAGGAAGGGAGGAGGGAAGAGGAGGAGCGGGGTAGGGAAGAGGATGTTGGACGGGAGACGGGAAGTGAGGAATGTATGGGGCTGAAAAGTGTTCACTCGGGATAGGCGGAAGAGGTGACGTAAATCGGACACTTTCGAGGAGTGCGGAAACGGAAGACTGGTTGGACAAGCGTACGTGACACGCGGCGAGCACGCACCCACGTGGAGCCTTGCAACAGGCTGATGATCCAGAACAGAAGGTCCACATTCGCCGCGAACAGCGCGCACACGCACCCGATCGGCCGACGGAATCCCCACGCCACCACTTGCCACCACCACTCGGGGCTCCTCCCGCCGGTCGCATCAGCGGCGGCGGCGGCGGCGACGGCGGTGAAGTCGATGTCGGAAGGTGAGGCGGAGGAGGAGAATGCGGCGGGTGGGAGGTATTTTGCATCGGCGATAAATCTGTGCGATATGAGGAGCGACGGGAGAACGACTGCCAATGCGAGGACGAAATTGGCGGCGCTCTTGTGCAGTGGGTAATGCGCGTCGGGAGAACCCGCCATGGTCGTGCGCGGAAGCGAATGTGTGGATGAGGTGGCGTGTATGTGTGAATTTGATTGCGCTCAAATGTGCCTGATGTTCAGGCCAAGAAAATGTGGCTATGTATGTATGTATCCAATTTCACGTTGCAGGTTTGAAGACGTTGCGTATTTTCTGACTCAGCAATTGCAGCTTACAAAGTATATCGAGGACCTTATTTGGGGAGCATTTGAAGCTCCTCATTCAAAACTCGACACGTCATACACCGTTTCGTCACCTGTATCGTTCTCGAGCGCCACGTCAGTTCGCGTTTTACAGTACCTCACCCACACACATGCATCCATTTCCTCGCACTACACATCCATCTACACTTCAGCGGCTAGCTCCCCCCAGGCGCGGCTGTCTGTGAGTGTTTCTCGATTATACCGACAGTAATGTACTGCAGATTCCTGTGCACCACGTGTTGCGCTGCCGCTTATTCGGCAGTTTTAATATCCACCGCCCGTTAATCATGGCCGCGATTTCACTTGCCTCTTCTTCTCTAACTCTAACTCGGTCCGCCTCCCTCATCGATCGCTCCACTCCCGCTCACTCGCTCGCGTCGTCACAGCAAGGGTCGAGGGGCATCGCAGTGAGCGTCGCCGTGCGTCGCATGGGGCAATCGGGAAGTCGTGCGCGCGTCGCTGTCGCCGCATCCCGCGGTGAAGAAGGTACGAGTAGCTGCACTATTGAGCGTCCGTTCCTGATTATTCAATACAGCAGGAAACGGAAACGGAAACGGTAAGCTGAAACGGAAACAGAACGGAAATGGTAACCACGCAAGCGGGTACGTGTAGACCAACCAGCTTTTGTTCCCACTTCGAATTATTCACTCTGTATCCTCGTCGCGCCATAGCCCGCAAAACTCTCTCATGCTGTCCCCACTCACTCTTCCGACTCCTCTCTGGCATGGTGTGTCCCCCGTGGCGGCGCAGTGAAGGCGGTGCAGGTGGATAAGGCGGAGCTGCGGAAGCGGCTGTCGCAGCAGGAGTACCACGTGACGCAGGAGAAGGGCACGGAGCGCGCCTTCACCGGGTGAGCTAGCGCCGCGCGCGCACCCCTGTGCCTGCGGCTTCATGTCTCAGGACGATGGTTTGCATGTGTGGTGTGGCTTGCGTCTTAAACAACCGTGCTTTTGTCCACACCACATTGAAAGGGAACCTCTTTCTACAACTTGCCCCCTCCTACTGCTGCTCCTTCCCGATTGCGTTATCTTTGCGCCGCCCTTCTGATTGCGTGCCTGCTCGCACTATCTCGGCGCCCTTCTGATTGCGTGTGGTGAGCAGCAAGTACTGGGATGACAAGCGCAAGGGCACGTACCACTGCATCTGCTGCGACACCCCGCTCTTCAGGTGCCCTCGCCTCGCTCCTGTGCCAACCTTGTTAATCACCCCTATTGTCTCCCTCCCCTCTTTCTCCTACACCCCCCCCTCCCTCCCCCCCCTCCCTTCCCCCGCCCGTTGTTATCGCATGTATCCCCTGCTCTTCCACTCCCTCGTCAATCCTCCTTTGCTCTTTGTTTGATTTCCTAAATTCGGTCTTATTCCGCTGTGTTTACTTCCTGAATCTGACTGCCCTGTTTCAGTTCAAGCACCGAGTTTGACTTAACAATTCCCTCATCCTCTTCCTCTGGTGCCCTGGCTCATCTGACTCACTGAGACCCATCATCATTTCATTTCCTGACTCCTGTCCCCCTGGCCAGTTCAAGCACCAAGTTTGACAGTGGCACGGGGTGGCCATCATTCTACGACCAGGTTGCCAGCAACGTGAAGCAGGAGACGGACTGGTCCATCCCCTTCATGCCGCGTGTGGAGGTGCTCTGTGCTGCCTGTAACGCACACCTTGGCCATGTCTTCCCCGACGGCCCTCCCCCCACCCGCCAACGATACTGCATCAACAGGTACAGGATCCAGTGCTCGTTTTACTCCTTGTTGTGGCTGCCTCTGTTCCAATTTCACTCCTCACTGCTTCTTTTTTTGCACACTAAGGGTTTTACTCTCTGCAGAATTTTTAATTTCCACCCGCCACCCCCTCCCTCCCCCCTTCCCCCTTCCCCCCCTGCTCCCCTTCTGCTTGCCCAAACTGATGCTGTCACCTAATGCTGTGCAGTGCATCTCTTCGTTTGGATACCAACGCGTAGAGTCCCACTTCGAGTAAATAAAACTGAAATGGAGCCAGACATGGTGTGCCAATCCTGGCTTTCAGAGTAGTAGTTCTTGATCTGCTGTCAGCTTTCTTGTGAGATGTGAAGTGACAACAACACTGTGCAAACCGTGACTGCCCTCAGATGCATGAGACAATATTAGTTTTGTTACCAAGTTGTCTATCATGGTATTTTGCATGCATTCAGATTCCAACTCTATTTGATGCCTGACCCTGCAATCAATGACAAATCTAATGACGTAACAACTCTCACCATCTAGTTTGTCCATACGGTAAATTACCTTTGTTCATCAGCACTTTTCCAATGTTTTCTGGATGAATAAAATGTTTTGTTATGTATGAGGATCGTATTCTCGCCCTCGTAGTTCTGATTTTCTGTAAGGAAAATTCATTTTCCTTACTTCGCGTCCCTGCTTACCGCGTACATGCCTGTTCCCGCCATCGGCACCCATCCGTGAACGTTACCGCTCGCGACATTCGCCTCGACCACGACTCCCGCCACTGTTCACGATGCGGCCCAACCTCACGGTTCTGTTGGTAACCTGCGCTCCGGACCTCCGCCTCGACAATTCCCAACCTCGGCGCTAGGCCCGTAGCGCACCCCAATTCCCGCATTACCGTTACCACGCTAGCTTCGCTATATAACTTCGCTCATGCTTTTCGCTCAACTGTATTGATTGCTTCGATAGTGCAATTCTCACTCACTCGTTCAATTGCACTCGTAACACTTTGTCAAATGTTGAACATTGATATGATAGGCTATAGTGAGTTGCACTCTAGGGGGTACAGCTTCTAGGGTTGCTCATTTGTACCCCATTCGTTTCTATTCCAATCATTCCGTTGTTCGCTAACTTTGAGATGGTATCATGAGTAGGTGTCGATCCTCTCGCCTAGCCTAGCCTAGCTCGCGCCCTAGCGCCCTCCGCGCCCTTGCGCCCTAGCACACTCCGCGCCCTCCGCGCCCTCCGCGCCCTTGCGCCCTAGCACCCTCCGCGCCCTCCGCGCCCTCCGCGCCCTCCGCGCCCTCCGCGCCCTCCGCGCCTTAGCCACCGCGCCCTCCGCGCCATTTCCGCGCCTTAGCGCCCTCCTCCTCCGCGCGTTAGCGCCCTCCGCGCCCCTAGCCTGCGCCCCTAGCCCGTCGCCCAGGCCCACGCCCTAGCCCGTCGCCCAGGCGCCCGCCCTAGCCCGTCGCCCAGGCGCCCGCCCTAGCCCGTCGCCCAGGCGCCCGCCCTAGCCCGTCGCCCAGGCGCCCGCCCTAGCCCGTCGCCCAGGCGCCCGCCCTAGCCCGTCGCCCAGGCGCCCGCCCTAGCCCGTCGCCCAGGCGCCCGCCCTAGCCCGTCGCCCAGGCGCCCACCCCAGCCCGTCGCCCAGGCGCCCGCCCCAGCCCGTCGCCCAGGCGCCCGCCCTAGCCCGTCGCCCAGGCGCCCGCCCTAGCCCGTCGCCCAGGCGCCCACCCCAGCCCGTCCCCCAGGCGCCCGCCCCAGCCCGTCGCCCAGGCGCCCGCCCTAGCCCGTCGCCCAGGCGCCCGCCCTAGCCCGTCGCCCAGGCCTGCGCCCTAGCCCGTCGCCCAGGCCTGCGCCCTAGCCCGTCGCCCAGGCGCCCGTCCTAGCCCGTCGCCCAGGCCTGCGCCCTAGCCCGTCGCCCAGGCGCCCGTCCTAGCCCGTCGCCCAGGCGCCCGTCCTAGCCCGTCGCCCAGGCGCCCTCCCTGGCTCGTCACCCCAGCCCCGCAGGCAGCGCGCCACGCGGGTAGCGCGCCCCGCGGGTAGCGCGCCCCGCAGGAGGCGCGCCCCGCGGGTAGCGCGCCCCGCAGGCAGCACACCCTGCAGGCAGCGCGCCCCGGGGTGCTTTAGTGCCAGAAAATAAATAAATAAATTAAACCCTAAAAAAAAAAAAAAAAAAAAAAAAGGGGGGGTTCACAGTGGGGGCCTGCGACTGTCGCCCGCGTTCCTGCTTGCCGGACGACCTGCACAGTTGCCTACATCCCGCAGCCGTCAGTACTGCAGCCCCTACTGTCGCACGTACTTTCCACTGCCAGTGGCTCTACTAGCGGCA